TCCAAAAAACTTCTTTCGCCATTTCCTTGGCCGGGTACATCGACCACAAGACTTCCAGTTTCTGGTTGATGGCATGACAAGGATTCTGAATCAGCCAGTAGGTGCTTCCAAGCATGTCCGCATCCCCCATCGTTGATATCTTGCAGCTTCAAGCCAACACCGCCTACCTACCTGGAAGTCACAAGTCACTGACGTGGGCACCGGAAATGATTATGCTTTTCTGGGAGGCGTTACAATGTAACAAGCGTTTCCGCTCCTTCATCATTGACACAGCCAGATCTCATGATTTTGTCGTGCTTGTGCTATACTATGCTCTGGATCAACGAAACGACCCATCAAAACAAGGTCTTGTACGCATGTGCATCTTTGTACTACAGACTCTGAGTGTCGAGCCGCAGTTTGGCAAGAGCCTGAATAAGGCATTCGAGGGCCAGGAATCCCTGCCGCCGAGCATACGGATACCGAACTTCCACGGCACCTATGCCGATTACATTATCACTGTAAGTAGTTGGACTCGTAGGACAACGCATACTGACTTCGCTAGTCCATCTATACACTACTCACTACAGGTAAAGGCAGATTGGATGCAATATACCCTGCTCTGCTTGCCATTTTAAACAATATTGCTGCATATGTGCAAAACCTTGGACGTGCTTCAAGTTCTAAGCTGCTCCAATTGTTCGCATCCATGTCATCACCAAGCTTTCTCTTTGCAAATGAGAGCAACCACGCCCTGCTACACTCACTCTTGGAAGCTCTGAATGCGATGATCGAGCATCAATATCAACGTAAGCCCTGACCTACATATGACCACCAAGCGGACATTAATTTGTCTAGACAACCCAAACCTTGTATACGCCATCATAAGGTTACGAAAAAAGTTCCAAGCGCTACGAGATTTCACCCTTGAAAGCGGTCAGGAAGAGCTCGAGCGCCAGAATCAATTACGCAAAGATGGTGGAGAGGAGCTGTCACGACAAAATTCTATCGACAGCTTACGGAGCTCGAATGTTGCCCGAACTCCCACTTTGGGCAATGTCCCTGAGGAAAACAGTGCTTTCGCTATCGGCGATGACGACTCAGATGACGAAGCCACAACACCTGAGGCGCCACGATCGCCAGTACAATCACCACCCGGAGCTTCGAGACGTGCATCGATAGCGTCCTCCGTGGACGAGTCGGTTCCGCTGCAGCTGAGAGGCATGTCTGAGAAAGCAAGAGGGAAGATGCCCGTTGGTCAGCCTGCTTTCTCTCGCCAAAACAGTATGACGAGCCTCCATAGCATGGCAGGCCCAGCACTAGCTACCAATGAGTTCTTCACGCCATCGGTGCCGTGGGTAAGTAGCTCTTGGATTCTGGAAACTTAGAATGAGAACTGACTATTTCCCAGCTCGAGGGCTGGCTCTCCGAACTCCCCCTCCACACAATCATGATGCTGATTACGCAACTTGGCCCCAAAATGCCCAGCGCCGCAAACTCCAACGACACAGCCGCAGCCATGGCCGCGATCCGTGAGACTGAGATCCGCGGGATTGAGCCATCGCCCATTCGCGTGCACCTCTTTGAATGGTCACCCTTATCCCTCGGCTGGTACGAATCCCTTCTCTGGGGCTTCGTCTTCGCTGCCGAGATGCTCGTCGCAAAGGGCACAGCAGGCGTCTGGAACAACACCAGTATCCGACTCTTCAAGGTACAAGAAGGCGCCGCAAACACCCCATCCTTTATGTCTCCACGGGGTGCGGTCGATGCCGTGGGCAGCAATCTCGTGCAACGGATTGGTAGTCTGAATCTCCGCGGTGGGACGCCGAGCGTGCCCCCGAGGAGTCCAGCAAGTAATGGCGGGGCCGGGGCAAATACTGTGCGTGATGTATAAGGGGAGTGGTGTGTAGGGGAAGGTGTACATTATACAATAACCTAAACTACAATACGGCGCTCACTACGAAGTCGTCCAGACCATGATGATAGCAACGAAAGAACAAAAATGTAAAGTAAGAATTTGGCCACCGAACTACGTACCTACCCGCTAGTATTCCTCTTTTGCTTTTTACGCGATGACCGATGTTCTCCAATGCGCGGGTTGAATCTCCTCGAGACACCAGCGAGCAATATGATTGGCATATTCCCAACAACCAGACTCAGGGTCCAGCTCCCCATTCGCTTCACTCCCCGTCAATCCTCTATCTGCACAGCCACGATATGTGGCGAGTGCCACAACGTGCCGCATTTTAGCTGTGGCGAAGAACTAGCCTACCAGGCTCTTCCCTTCTCTCCATACTCCCCATCTCCCCTACCCCAATGAATGACAACGCAAGTCTGTGACTATTATTCTTAGTTTCGTCCCAAGACGGTGGTTCTAGAACGCCTTTTTTTTCGGTATACATAATAAGTTTTGTCTGACGTGTGTGGAGGTGGAAATGCGTGGAGTATCGGACGAAGAGTTTGTTTGCTCTTGCGTGAATTGGTGTGGATGGTGGGTGATCTTTGCCTTGAGGATTAGTAGTAGTTTGGGGTTGAGGTTTTGCTTTATCTAGGGGGGTGGGTTGGCTTGTTGGGGGGCCGGGGGAGTGTAGTAGGGTATCTCTTAGGTGAGGTGTACATGTGGAGGTAATCCTTGGAGGGTTTGATAGCTTGGGCTGTGCTCTTCTTCCCGTTGGGAGATGGGCTTGTGTGTTAGGTGAACTCTTTTGTAAGTCTTATATGAGGGCCTGTCATCTTATTTGGCTGGGCTTTGATGGACTTGATTTGGTGTTGCTGGGATGTTATACTAGGAGCAGCATTTTTTTTTATTGTTAAGCTCCCCTCTCCTTTTTGAAGTGGTTGTTTTCTTTAGAAATATCTCGTACGGAGTCCTACATCACATGACACCACCCCTTCCCCCTCTTATGTCATGATCTTAAAACCCTGGTCTCTGATTTTTCACAAGACGGTATCTTTTGAAAATGGCGGCTTCACAAATCCCCTCGCATCTACATGATGAGGAAGCCGTAACACCATACACCATGCACGTATGTCCCCTACATCCCCGTCCTTCAAAACACAACCCCTCCAGCAAAAGAAAATACATACCAACAAAAAGCTCACAGCCTCGCAGGTCTCATCCCGCTACCTCGACCTCACGCACCAAAAACTCCAACTCACCCGTCTCCCCCGCGAACTCGACCTCCCGGATTCCCACCGCTGGGCCCAAGGCACACCTAAAAGCGTCCTAGAACCGCTTCTGGATTTCTGGCTAGAAGGGTACGATTGGCGGAAAGCGGAGCTGGGTTCAAAACTACATTGCCTCAGTTTCGGACTAGTGTTACTGTCTCTTATTCTTCTACTTTGAATTCTCCTTCGTCCTGCGTGGCTTTAATGTCCACGTTCCCTTTATTCGCTTCAGCAAAACCATTGAAATCGAATCCGGAAACGAAGACGGAGATGGAAACGTTACGTGTACATTTTGTGCATAAGCGGTTTGCTCGTGCGAATGCGGTTCCTTTGCTGCTGTGCCATACGTGGCCGTCTTCATTTATCGAGGTGCAGTGTCTAATTGAGGCGTTGACGGAGCCGGTGGGAGGGCTGGGGGAGGCTGAGGAGCAGGTACAAGCGTTCCATGTGGTGGCGCCTAGTATATCCGGTTTTGGGTTTAGCGATGCGAGTTCAAGAGAGGGGTTTGGGCTAGCGGAGACGCCGGCGGTTTTTGATAAGGTGATGGGGAGGCTGGGATATGGAGGAGGGTATGTGGCGAGTGGGACGGAGTGGTAAGTCGTGTTCTTCTATCGCGGTGCTTTGAGGAGTGCACAGACAGAAGGGAAGGAAATGGAAGGAGGAAAAGGAAGCTGCTAATGTGTGAATAGAGGATTCAGTATATGCCGAGCCCTCGCATTCAATCATCCAACACGCTGTCTCGCAGTGCATACGTCTAATCCTTCCTTTCCTGCTCCGAGCTTCAAACGCAGTAGAATCGCGTACTTGAAGTACCGCGTCACCAAACTTACAAAAGCTAAGATTCCGATGTTGAGCTTTGGATATACGCCCAGTGAAATCTCCACACCACGCAGTGCTCAAACATCTGGCACTATCAAAGACGCATTACAACTGCAGAGACCCCTGGGCCCGACACTCCATCATCTCTACTCTCTCCGCCCACAAACCCTCGCTTTCTCGCTAGGTGACTCGCCCATGGGTTTACTGGCCGCGTTGCTAGACGTACTCCACACGCGAGAGGTGGTGCATGATCCCTTGGCATCGAGACCTATAAGTCCATTTCTGTCGCCGGTAGAGTTGGAGATGCAAGAAGTGCGCGCTATCCAAGCTGTTAATGCGAACTCCCATGAAACATCGACATCGACACATGGATTGGAGTCTGTGGATGAAGAGAGTGATGTATAGAGTGACACTACAGAACGTCCTGCTGCTGTATCAGGACAAAGGGAGGAAGAGCAGGGGAAAGATTAGACATGGAGTGCAACGGAGATTCTGAATTATGTCATGTTGCAGTGGTTACCTGGGCCTGAAGCTGTAAGCCATCTTTTTCATGGTGGTTGCGTATGTTGTGCGCCATGTTGGAGGTGTTCATGTAGTTTTGCGCCATCTTGCATGTTGTGGAAATGCGGCAAAGCGTTTCAAACCGTATTCGCATATTCCTACTCTTGCCAAATTGGATATTGGACGTAAACAAAGCTAATGCAAATCATATAGGCGCTGCGCTGGTTACGTTGTGCACATCTCGACAGCGAGTCTCTACAGAATGCATATTCGTCTGTGCGATTAGGCATCAGTACGTTTTACGCGCAGACAAGCTGTACCAAGGACAGTGAAGCAGGAACACCGCCACCGCTGATGTGGGGCTCATCAAGCTGGGACATTGCATGGGTAAAGAGACATCAACGGCCTGGTACACTGCCTGGACTTGAAGCTCCCGATCTGCTGGTCCCGGATCGGAGGGAGTATTTCGGTGGATTGAGTAAGGGTGGCAGGATTGGGACATCGGGGAGCCGTGAGCGAGACTGCTCAGAAGGGTAATGCAAGTGTCTGATGGCAGATAAACAAGTGTCGATGACTGATATAGGTATATGAGTTGGGTTTTATGCGTGTTAATGAGCTTGAGATGGGGATGTGGGAAGATGATAATACTGGGTATATGAGATAATGAGACAGCAGCTCGGCAGTGGGCCATTTGGGCGCGGCCAATGGGCCATGTCGTTTTTTCGGTGATTCAAGGTATTGACAGCGTAGGTATACCGGTAGGCAAGCCTGGCCAGGTCAAGGTCTCAAGTCAGGCATAGAGTATCCATGAACATGCTAGAGTTACAATACACCGTGGTAAGACAATGTCGGTGTGGACACGACGGGGGTTTTCTGGCCGCGATGAAGGGCAGGTTGCGCGATTTCCATGTGTTTCTGGGGGGGGGGATTCGGTAGTGTGGCGCATGTCATCGAGATGGCGGCGGAGCAGGCCAATTGCGGATTGGCCCGTGGGGGCCTGGCGGTGACCTCACACGTCCGACTGCGAAAAAGCGCACTCGCAGAAAAATGGCAGGCGCGTGTGTGTGTGAACAACGAACGCCCAACGCCTGACCTCATCCCTTCACCTTCAACCCCCCCAATCAACCCCCCCAATTATCCCGTGACGGCTTTCCAGGTCAAGCTCGCCTCGATTTCCTCACAATACTGTACGTGACTGCCTCGATAGCCTCTTCGACCGTTAGCTACCATGAAGATTTTTACACAACAGAAGGGCTACTACCGGTATCCAGGACTGACACCTGCCAGAAGCTGCATCAGCGCCCAACGCCATTGAAGCGGCCCCCTTCACCCTCCACAACAACAACAACAACAACAACAAACAACGCCCCCCCTAAACCAACCTCGATCGTCAAGCTGGCAGACGCTACCTCTACCACTTAACACACTGCCTTGGCTGCCATAGCCCGCAGATTGCCTCCCTCGTAGCCTTCATTCGCTGTTCCATGCGTCAAGAGGACCTGGTACGCTTTCTGTCCAAGCCCGCAAAGTGAGTCTTCACGAGGCCGCATTCTTCTCACGCAATCGCCTGATCCACCGCTGCATTGGATTGATGCGCAAAACAAATCAAACAGCCTAGCAATCTGACAAGGCTGACTTCTCCAGGCCTCGATAACACCCGCTACAACCACCTACCACCTACCCACGTCTCCTCTAGCCCCCCACTAAGCAGATTTCCTCGTCTGCTGGACCCGATACTTTTCCAGGGTATCGGAATCTGGTACGAGGGCCACAGCGACTGCCAACATTTCGCGGCGCAAAGCCTCGTTTATTCCCCTCTCCGCGCGACCTCCCTAACATCGACTACGGTCGGTCCCCTACATCCTCTTCCGCTTGCTGCTGGCACACGCCAGCCTCGCCTCTCCTCGCGACCCGTGGGCCTTCTCAACTCAGGCGAGCACCGCATTGCTTGTCTGAGCGGCAGATTGCGCTTCACCTAGCCCAGCCCCGAAGCTTGCATATCACGCTTCTCAACAAACACATTCGTCGACAGGAGTGGTAGTAGCCATCTTTTGCGCACTACAAAGAGATGGTCGCTACTGAGATCCCCAAGCACTATACTGCTTCGCCTTCGTCGCATATTGGCACTCCACACCTGACAATTAACAAGGAGGCCACCATTGACCTCGACTCCACCAATGCCTTTGAAGGTACCTGCACTGCTTTCGCTTGAATGAGCTCTTTGGCTGACTGGTAACAGGTCCTGAGAAGCTGCTAGAAGTATGGTTCAGCTCTTCTGCTACCGACCTACCTGGCCAGGCTGGCCCGCTTGGCCTCAAAAAGGTCTCCGCTGAGGTCTGGAAGGAGATGCTCGATCTGGTCAACTGCAAGGTTCTCTCCGTCATCGAGTCTGAGCATGTCGATGCCTACCTCCTCTCCGAATCGAGCTTCTTCGTCTTCCCCCACAAGCTCGTACTCAAGACCTGCGGCACTACAACTCTGCTCTGGGGATTGACACGCATGCTTGAGATTGCGGCCGTCAACGCTGGATTCCCACACATCACTGCCCCTGCTGGATCAGGCATCGCTCCCGCTGCTACACCATACCGCGTGTTCTATAGCAGGAAGAACTTCCTGTACCCTGAGCAGCAGCGTGGACCCCACCGCAGCTGGCGCGATGAAGTCAAGTACCTCGACCAACGTTTCCAAGGTGGAAGTGCCTATATGATTGGCAAGATGAATGGCGAGCATTGGTATCTGTACATCACAGGCCCCGACATGCGCCTCACCCCACCTCAGAGCCCAGCAGAAGAGATTTCCGAAACGGAGACCAAGTTTTTGAACCATCCACAGCGTTTGCTTCCTGAGCGTGTCACGGATGAAGAGGAGGATGAAACTCTGGAGGTCTTGATGACCGACCTCGAAGAGAAGAACGCCCGTCAGTTCTATCTTGAGGACGCAAGTGCGGTTGCGGAAGGTCGCTATCTCCAGAGGGCCCGCGAGGCTCGCAAGAACGCCATTCAGTCTCTGGGAGCCATTCCAGAAGAAAAGTCTGAGAGTCTTGGTGGATCTACCGTCCTCGACTCTGCAGCCAACAGCCACCCTCCCTCTGATGCCAGCTTCGACGTGTTCGAACAGACCTCTTCGGACCACTCTGATTTCAACTCTGACGAGGAGCTCACATTCCCCGAGGAGCTGACCACCGAGGGCCACACTCTGGGAAGCGTCGTTTCTGAGGTCTGCGGTCTGGCTGACGTCTATCCTACGTCCAAGTACCCAGACGCTCGCATTGACGCCTACCTCTTCACACCCTGCGGCTTCTCCGCCAATGGCGTCATACCCGCTCCAGGGGGTGCGCTCAACGGCTCCAAGAAGGGCTCAGACGCCACCCACTACTTCACTGTGCACGTTACTCCTGAGCCCCAGTGCTCCTACGCTTCCTTTGAGACCAACGTTCCCGCCCGCCAGACTGGCCGCGAGACTGCTGATGTCGTCGAGCACGTTGTTGGCATCTTCAAGCCTGGTCGCTTCAGCGTTACCCTTTTCGAAGCTAAGCGTGCGACCGAAGACTGTGTAGGCAAAGGCGTTGAAAAGGCCCAGCGGATGGAGACCATCAAGGGGTACAAACGCATCGATCGTATTGTCCATGACTTGGATGGGTACGACCTTGTGTTCAGGTACTATGAGAGAGACGACTGGAAGGGCGGAAAGCCGAGATTGGGAGAGGAGTTCTAAGCCATAGGGTTTCTATCCCAGGTGCAAGAAACGGGTTCGTCGATGTAGTTGTGAAGGGTTTTTGGGCATGAGTATGCTTTTTCCTTGGTGAAATTGTTCTTGTAGCGTTGTTGCTCGTTGATTAGTTGGTGAGTATGGTTCCTTCTTAAAAAATATTGTGAAAGGTCGATAGTGTAATTTGCACGTTATTCACACCTCTTATTGTCTCAGCCATTCCTTGACGTGACTCTTTTTCTTTTCTCTAATTTTTTTTCCTGTATCCCCTTATCTTCTTAGGATACCTATCAAATACTTCATATCCTACCGTCTCTCCTTCTAGCATGTTAGTAGCCAAGATGAAGTGCATACTCTAAAACATAGGTGTAGAACCTATCAAGTCTAGGAATGCAGGTTGTTACCTTTACCTAGTAAAGGCATAGGAGAGGATGCTAGGAGCAGGGGTACGTCACGTAGGAATTATAGGAGCAAGGTAAAGGTAAAGAGGGGGGAGGTAGTAAGAGAGGAGAGAAGAGTAGGCCTTACTAGTTATTGTAGAGCTATAGGTTAATATTTATATAGTTATATAGGCTTAAGGCAAAATATATTATCTACTATACTATACTATTCCTAATAGCTATTACTTCTATCCTCTTTAGATATAGATATCTACCATGTCCTCTTACATCCCTCTAACACGCAAGAGCGCCCAAGTTCCCAAGACCATAGATCCAATTAATTACAGTGACTTAATTGTGGCCAATAATCCCCACAACAAGACATACAACAATCACGGCAGCCGCTTAAAAAAAACTTGGGAATTCTCAAGCGCAAAAGACATGGAGTGCTGCTCTACCTCTACAGGTTAGTATACCTATTATCCCAGCAAACAGCATTCAAGTATTACAAACCGCTACCCATTCAAGCACCTACAGGCTCCAACCCCCCTTCCAGCAGACGCAGCCAACAAGGGACAAGAAGGACGGCGTGAAGAGCAAGCATGGCAGTTAGACGTAAGCACCATGACCATCACTCACTCTTATAGTAACATCATTATCGCACAACACAAGGACACTCACAATACCACAGATTAGTAGTCCGCACTTGGACAATCATGGCCACCAATGTGTCACTTTGACACTATCGGGCAGAGAGATTGCAGCAATTTCTTTGGAAGTTGCAGTCGAGGAGACGACAAAGGTTAGGTTGTTGCTTGAGGGATTTGCACAGATCCCGGCCGAAGAAAGAGGGGAGTTCTTTGGGAATTGTTTTTGAGTCTATAGGCAGCGTGTTATGGTGTGTTGGGGGTAGATGTGGAGATTGTTAGGGGGGGAGGGGTTTCTTTTGGTCCTTGGGTTTTTGGTCTTTCTGGTTTTGCTATGGGGGAGCTTGTATTTCTTTTATTATACACTTTTCTTCTCTTATTATCTCTCCCTATTCCTGCCCTTTAATATTCTCTCTTATCTCTCTCTAAGCATTTACATCACTTCCTTATCTCTGCTCTTGCCTTCCCTCTTTTATTCCCCCTTTTCCCTAAAAGAAAGAAATGTATGCACACTACTCTAAGCATACTTGTAAATGCTCTGCATAGCTAGTTATACAGGATCTATTCTATGCTTAGATATAGCATAAAGAACGACTTTGGCACGCATTGTGTAGACATGGCTATAGCACGACATAAGATTTGATCAAAATAGGTCATGTACAGGGCATTGCTTTCCATAACACACATGAGCGAAACTTTTGTATTTTTCTAAGTCGCTGTGTGCTACAAGGGGTTTTAACGGTATGCACCAAGACTAAATCTGCGAGTCTAGTGCATTTGACTATTGCCTGATTCCCTCTTATCTGCGTGATCATTAATGCACCACACCGACTCAGAGTAGCTGCTCTACCGACTAAATGGCCTTCGCTCTAAACCGGCTACATTGATTTTCCACCCAAAGAAAAACCCTAAAATCTCATCCACTTGCTGCCCTGAATCTGCAGCAACAAAATACATCTCACTCCCAAACGCCATTTATGCAATAAACTCCCACATGAGAGATTTGTCAATGGTACCATTAAAAATCAGTCTATGCTAATGTGGTATCGCTCGCTTCATCGCCATTGTGTTCCATTTTGAGGTCTTCGCCACCGGCTAGTACCTTGGTAGTCGGTGCATCGCCCTCTGTCGGTCCTGCGCCCGGTGTGCACGCTGAGACGTTGCCTTGCTCGTCGACGAACTCAAAGTTGTAGCGGGAGAGGAGGTGAGGGATGGCGGAGAGTTGGGGGCCGTAGCGTGCTGTGTTGTCGTATAGTTCGAACAGGGGGACGGCGAGGAGTTTCATGTTTTTGGGGACGCTAAGGACTTCTGGGTTGGGTGTTAGCCTGATGGAGGGAAAGCGAAAGGGAAGATGAGCTGTGGTAGGGAAAGGAAAAGGAAAGACGTACTGCTCCTGGGAAGTTGGATAAAGTACAGCTTCTTGCACTCCTTCGGCCTGGTGACGTGCGCTGGGATGAAGGGGTACATGAAGGTCTCGAAATTCGGCCTCCACCATTGCGCAAGCGTGTCGCCAACCTGCCACTCGTCGTTTACACCTTCGCCTGTGAATTGCGTGCCGACGGGTGCAAGACGCTCGTTCAAGCGAGCCTTGAAGCCTTCGATTTCATCGTCTTCAGCGCGCAGATAGTCGCCTGGACTGCTCAATGGTTAGCACTGTATACTATCCAAGTCACGTACCACCCCAAGCGCAGTACCTAGTAGTGGACAATTTGGAAATAAAATCTTACAGCTTAAAAAAGGCGTTCGCAATCTGCAACATCAAGATATGCGGGTGGTTGTGCTCATGGCAGACCAAGATGCCCTCACATGTCCGGCGCATGCCATATTCCGTGTAGTGCTCTTCCAATCTCTTGAGGCGCGCTAGTACAGACGGATCTTCCTCTGGCTGACCATCCTTGGTGCCGAATGTGTAGTTGCTGAGGGGGTAGAGGCGGATGGTCTTGGGCTGATTGGCGTTGAAGTCCTTTGGCAGAACGGGCCTAATTTGTTGCGTGAGCAGGTGGTTTCTGAGGAGACGCTAGACAGAGGAGGAGGGGGAGGACGCACGGGTATGAGCTTTGAGAAGCTTCTTGTGTTATTGTAGACATTATGTGCACGTGAGGGTTTGGGTGGGTGCGACGGTAGATTTGCGCCTGTAGTTCGTTGATTGTCGAGTTTGGGGTTGGAGTTGAGGGTCGGCGCGGTCGCGAAATGGAGTGACAGGGATCTGGCCTCTCGCGTTCACGTGGGGTTTGCACGGACCTTTTGTGGTGACTTCGTTTCCTACTCCATTGTCATTACCACCTGACATAAGAACTTGAGTTGTGAGACAGTATGGCACAGAATGCTGTTATCATCACTGGGGGTAAAATGAACTCGAATTCCATAACGAGACCTGTTCAGCTGACCTTATGGTTTAGCCAGCGGTCTCTTGGGCAGACAAGTACAGCGCCAATTCCTCCTAGATGGATGGAGCGCCATTGGTACTGCCTTGAGCCGTGTAATGCCTCCTGAAATCATCAGACTCGACGTACTCGATCGGAGAGAGATAGAAAGAGTACTAGATGAGACGAAGCCCAAAGTCGTTGTTCACTGTGCCGCAAATCGCTTCCCAGACTCCTGTACAGCCGACCCTGAAGCAGCAGTGAAACTTAACGTAGAATCGAGTCGATCCCTTGCAGAAGCTACGGTAGCCCGTGGAATCTTCCTTATCTACATTTCAACAGATTATGTATTCTCTGGAAGACCGGACGAAGCACCGTACAAGGTTGATTCACCAACGAGTCCACCAAATGTGTATGGGCAGACGAAGCTCGACGGCGAAAAGGCTGTCCTTCAAGTTGCTCGAAATAGCGGCGCCAGAAATATAGTTGTCGTTTTACGTGTTCCAGTCTTGTATGGCTCTGCCGACGAACCCAAAGACAGCGCGGTAAACGTCCTCATGTCGCAACTCTGGGCTGCACAGAATATCGCGCCAGGACAGCCCAAAATCCAAGTAGACGACTATGCCCTTCGGTATCCGACAAACACGCAAGATGTAGGTAGGGTATGTCGAGACATTGCTAAAGTGTACCTTGACCCTGCGAACGCGTAAGTGCTCGTCTCCCTATGAAATTTTCCCACTATACACACCGTGTGTAGACTTATCATTCGGCATTGGAAGCTGATATAATAGTAGTGATCGCAATCTACCTCAAATTCTTCAATTCAGTTCAGAAGATTGCATGACGAAATGGCAAATTTGCCAGAAATTCGCAGAGATTATGGGACTGCCGCTTGACAACATGGAACCGGTCAAACCCGAGGAAGACACAAAAGATGGCACAGTCAGGCCATATGACTGCCATCTTGACACCAGTGCGTTGAAAGAACTGGGTATTGATGTGGGAACCACGGACTTTGCAAGCTGGTGGTAAGTGTGTACAAGGGTGAGGTCGAACTGTTTTCTAATCTATGGTTTAGGAGACGCGAGGTCGGCGCATTCAAGTAAACGGTCGATATCGTCAGACCTACACAGATTGCAAGTATACCAGGCAAACATAGCAGGTCTCCCATGCAACCAAATCCTGTGGTGGAGAACTTATGCGTATTGCTGTGCCTTTCCATTTTGTGCTTCGAATCTATACCAGGATACATAGTAGAGATCGGACTAGAACACAGTACCATCACTTTCAATGATAATCGGGCTCGACTTGGTGCCCGGCCTTTTCTTCGCCGCCATCTCCCGCCCAGACTTCCATGTCCCTGCTTCGAGCAGCTGCGCCATACTGAGGGGTACTCCTCCCATTCTCTCCAGAACCATGCCGTAAAGTTTGTCGACCAACACCAGTGTCATGGCCCGCCACTCAACGACGACATCGTCGCCGGCTTTGAACATAGGTAGAGAGCCACCAGAGGCTTTCAGACCTCGGTCCAATGAATCTTTCTTGAGCGTGAGTACTTCCAAGTCGACGAAGAGTCCACCATTGCGGTACTCGGGTAGTGCGGTAAGTGCATCAGTGTTAATCCACTCGAGGTGGAGAATGCGTTGAAAGGGCACCATTAGGGAGTAGGCTAGCCACTGCGTGAGTTTGTGAAAGGGTTGGATAAAGTCGGTCTCATCGGCGGTCGCAGAGGCTGACATGGATTTGAGGGTACTCAGCGGCCACGCATCTCCAATTGGTTTGCCGTTTACGGATGTACGGTCCTTGGGCCAGCATGGGATAAGAAGGGTTTGCAGAATGTCCCAGAATAGCAGTACATCTAGTTTCGAAGGGTCCTTTGAAGACTTGGTCATGTAGTCTGCCCTTTTGTTAGGATACATGTTCAAGAGTTATGAATGTATACTCACCAACAACATTGCCGGGGCGGCCCTCTTTGCCAAATATTTCCGGTTGGCCGAGCAGTGATGTTCCCAAGCTTCTCAATAGATTTGCACGAGATTCAAGTCCCAAGATTGGATTGGTTTCTGATATTTGGAAGCCTTCGGCCAGTGCCTGAGTTGTCAGTTGCGCTAATCCATTACCTGAACGTAATTTGTTAGTCAGCAGCTCGGTATAATGCAGTACGTGCTCACCATCGACAATTGGTGCCTTTTCATCCTTCTTCGCAGCAAATGCAAGACCCTTGAACATGTACAAGCTGGCAACTGCGATACCCTCGCTACGCTCGTATGTTGAGCCAGTACCAGGCTCGGCATAATGCCAATGGTCACCAGCACCAGCATCCAGAAGCACAGACACGAAGAAGAGGTCAATCAGACGGCGAGTCAGCTCTAATTCATCTGCACCACTCTTCTTCCACGATTCAAGCTCCTTGGTGATGCGAGGCGCATTGCCGACTTCAAAGTGTTGCCAGCGGCCATGAGGGGGGATGGTATGAAATGAATTGGGTCCGAAATCGCGCTATGAGTGAGTTGGTCAGATAATTAACGGAGAAGATATAAGTGTGTATTCCAAAACGGACCTTGATGACAGAAGTCACAAGATCTGCTGCATCCTTCAGCCGGTCTTCATGGACATCAAAGTGGCTGAGCTTCCCAACCTGAGCAGCTTCCCCGACCAACTTGGCTCGGTCTCGAACGGCACCCAGGGAGAGAAGGTATGTAACTTTGGAGTCCATTATCGTTTCTGAGAGTAACTAAAAAATCTGAAAGATGAGAAAGCGGAAGTTCAGTGCGGTAGCTAATGAGGGGGTGGTGGTTACTGTTACTTGATCCAGTGAGCTCTAGTGGCACGCTAGACTACTTTCAGACCAACACCTGTCAAGCCGGGGTAAATCAGTCTTCTTGCAAGAGCCAAACGACAAGAAACCTTGGAACAGGGATTCACCTGCGAAAAGTGAATTTCTTTCACTAATGAGTAATTCCAAGATGTCGTGTGCATCAATCAGTGGATCCATCACGATATTCGTTCCGATAAGACGTCGGGGCTCGCCGGTACCGTACCATTAGTGCTAACGCTATACTCGGAAGGTGCAGAAAGGTGTACCGTATGTACTTAACAAGCTTCCTCCTCACCGTCGGACTGCGTGATATGACTTCGATGACTTTGCTCGGACGATCTTATTTAGAGCCTCACAACTACAGGACAACACGGCAGGATGCCGTGCCACACTGCCAGCGCCGCGCTCACATTCAGAAAACAAAACGCTCTCGAGAATGGATACGATAGAGACAGCACGCGTTGTCAATAGCAAGGTTATCAGAAGCTGCCAAATACACTTATAATGCATCAGACTGCTGTGAGCTCCAGAAATCGATCGTATATGTCAGATAACTGTCGGCCGAGTTTGTCTTGCTAGCAAGGACGGGAAGATTATGGTGCACGCCGCATATGGCTCCTCCATTGATTGACAAACTCGCCATTCGACGTTGCGCACACACTGCAGTGAGAACAAGTGAGTCTTGATAGCGTACATACGTAAACTTGGGCATATATGACGTAGTGCAATATGCTCTTCGTTACAAAAAAGAGTCACACAGAAACGGATATGGCACGCTTGGTTATGTGAATGTTCATTGGTAAAGTTTAGAACTCGCATCGGAACGACGCATCTGGATATGGCTATTCTCTCACTTAATCAACAAACAAGCTCCAGGTTTTTCTAGAATAATGATAGAATCTAGTCAGCAATGTCACAGCAAACTTCTGGTAAGACGGTATAACTATCGCAAACTGCACACGGAGGAGACTAGGAGTCAGCAGATATGGACGTTAGGACGAAAGACCCAACATATCAACATCCACTAACTGTACTTCTGAAGAAGCCTTGGTCTGCTCCAAGATCAATACGTCAGGCTCAACGCCAAAAAATATCAGATTGACGGCAAGGTATTATGGAACGCAGCGTTAGAGGACTATCGCGTACTGAAGGAAGCCAATTCTACTGCGGAAGGTGCCAAAAACGGCCCAGCACGAATGTCCGAGGCGAAGGAACCATTTCCATTCTTCAGATTACCGGATAAACTACGAAATAAAGTCTATGGGTATTGCAAGCTGGACGAAAGAGAAAAGCAGGTGTACGGTCGCCCGAACGGGATTTGGTCGCCTACATGCAGTATGGATAGTCACTCAAGAATACGACTGCGTAATATCAAAATTCGTGACCTAGAACATCACGAACACGAAAAGAAGCAAAGAAAGTTCTTGATATCAGTAATTACGAAGCGATAGAAGCAAGCAAACGCGACAGGTGACTTCAGCGAAGGTGCCCAGGATGCTTTTGATAGATATCAGCTCGAGCACGACATGTACACACGCCAATGCTCGCATGAAAACCACGACGGCCTTGATGAAGACGAATCGTATGCATATTTCGATCAATTAGAGAAGTCGACGATGGCAACCATCAATACGCGAGGAAATCTATGTGATAATCTGCTCATGCTCTCACTTGTCAATCGCCAACTCTTCAAGGAAACATTCTCCCTTTACTACTCCACACCACGAGAAGGTCTCTGGTTCAAGTGGGTAGTAAGAAACCTAGACTTCCTTCCGCTCTTGCGCTTCTGGCAAACAATAGCCAGGCATGTCGAGATCGAACCGGACAGACTGCAAATCCAGTTCGATACGAGAGATCAGTACAAGAGCAAAAAAATGCACGTCGAGCAATTCGAAAATGTCAGGAGACTAATCGAACCGCATTGGCTTGATGGGCTCCCGCTTTGGAGCTGCCTGACAGGCCTAAATGAGTACCGCAACTCCATCGGCCCCTTTGGAGACTGGACGTACGCCATCCGCCAGATCGTAGCTGTATACCGTGTAGATGTCTAATTGTGGAGAGAAACCACAATCAAATACCTCCGCCGGATCGAGGAAACAGAAACAGAAGTTGGAGCCGATAATGACAGTCAACAAGAACGTAGCCTAGAAGCCCTGGCCAGCCAAGATTTTGTAGAGACGACCATCGAAATGCTCTTCCAAGCGATAGAATACCACCTAGGCTAGACATGACTACTCAGACGCGAGATCGCAATGGTGTGGTATGGGACGAGGACCTCTTCAAGATGTTGCGTTACAAGCTCAAAGCCCGCTAATTAGGCTTTGAAAAGGAGGCCGCGAAGGTACATATTTGTGCGGCAGTACTGTAAGCAGATTGACGCGCTATTCCGCGGTATGCTGAAGGATGAATTCGAGAAATGGGAAGGGCTGCCTGAGGAAGAGAAGCTTCCTCCAGATGTGATCTTGTGAAGGACACAGATGGCTGTCATGGTGTTAGTTGGGTGTAGCGTGGAAGACATCTTCGAAGATAGTTGGCTTAGAATTGTAAAGCAGCATTTAGACACTAGTCAATATCCTAATATTAGTACCATCATCGTTTTCCTTCTGGAAGAAGTTTGCCTTTCATCTGTTGAGACTTGTGTAGAGTATGGTCTATAGGCCAAGGCTTTCTTTGGAATTTTTGTTCTGCTCAGGGATCGGGAAATACTCAAAGAGATCATCGGACAAATGTAAAAATCGTGGAAATTGAAACTTGTGTATGTATTAAATTTCTTCAACTCCAGACACTTGTTAGCTGTCACCCAGTAGTATCCTCTTCATCATTGCCAATATTCCGCACCAAGCTCTTCACCAAGCTTCGCTTCATCACCCTCAACAATAATTTTCTTTACCAAGACACCAACGGCGTCTCACTTACTATTCGTTTCAACGGGCAATCCTGAGTCGCGGCGCTT